TCGAAAATCATGTGGACCATCGAATACTGAGTTTCTAAGCTAGAAGTAAAAAACGGGACAGCTGGTATTGCTAAAAATCACCCATGCATCAGAATATGCATCAGAATTGCAAGAGAAAGAGGCTTTGAACATGTTTGTAAAGATATTTCAAAACTTCAGACATATCTAACTAAATCCATGCTTATTTATTTCTTCTTTTCATTAAAAATTAGAGTTTACGAGTCTGTACGACACCGGCAACATCGCCTAGTTGATCTCTCAAAGCGTAAATACCACAGCGAAGTGAGTAGTCAGTTTTCTATTAAGAAAAACTATGCATATTTATTTTAGTGTTTAGGACTATTGCATATTTATTTTGTTCCTAACTTTTTTTTTTGAACAAAAAACTATGCATGCATGTTCTACGTAATAAACCGTCTCCTCGTTAAGAATACACATGTACACATTTAAGATCCAATATTGGTAATGAAAAATATATATTTTTAAACATAGAAAAAGCCGATGTATTTTACAAAGTATTCATTTTAATGCATTGTTACAAAAGCACTAGTCCGAAATCACACAAGTTTTTGTTTGAACCGATGTTTTTCACGACAGGCTTTACATTCTACTTCATATTCACATAAGATATGGTCGGTCCCTTAAATAACTTCATTTTTGACTGGATTTTGTGTTTTAATGGGCCGTACTTCANTTTAGCGTGCACTCTAGCACTCCCTGGGTTTCTATAATTTGGTTCAGATCGCTTTGCAGATTTTTATGTAGGTACTGGAGAAGAACGAAAACTATGTAAAAACAAAAGGGTTCCTTTAAACACATTAATACAATGTAATGCATATGTACTGAAATTATATTTAATTAATTTAATCCTACATAAATATAATATAATCATGTAATAGTGCACAATAAAAGCTAAACATTTAAACTTATATTTATGCCTTAAAATAATTCTAACAAAATACAATAGAGAACAGTGTTAGTACGTATAAAGAAGTCAAAAAACGTCAAAGGTCGAAAATCATGTGGACCAACGAATAAAGAGTTTCTAAGCTAGAAGTAAAAAACGGGACAGCTGGTATTGCTAAAAATCACCCATGCATCAGAATTGCAAGAGAAAGAGGCTTTGAACATTTTTGTAAAGATATTTCAAACCTTCCGACATATCTAACTAAATCCATGCTTATTTATTTCTTCTTTTCATTAAAAATTAGAGTTTACGAGTCTATACGACACCGGCAACATCGCCTAGTTGATCTCTCAAAGCGTAAATACCACAGCGAAGTGAGTAGTCAGTTTTCTATTAAGAAAAACAATGCATATTTATTTTAGTGTTTAGGATTATTGCATATTTATTTTGTTCCTATTTTTTTTTTTTTTTGAACAAAAAACTATGCATGCATGTTCTACGTAGTAAACCGTCTCCTCGTTAAGAATACACATGTACACATTTAAGATCCACTCTGAATATTGGTAATGAAAAATATATATTTTTAAACATAGAAAAAGCCGATGTATTTACAAAGTATTCATTTTAATGCATTGTTACAAAAGCATTAGTCCAAAATCACACAAGTTTTTGTTTGAACCGATTTTGTGTTTTAATGGGCCATACTTCACACCCACAGATGTTTTTTGTGCAGCAACAGATATCTCCTTAGAGACCTCTTATGCTTGGTTCCAGAATCACATTGATGCATTTGAACCCGCGACACACCTTTGCATGCTCGTACATACTCACCCGAACATTTAAACTCGTGAAGGTTCTCTATGCTTCAGCATGTGATATTTTATACAACTCCTGCAATTGGATTCATAATCACAGTCGGTACGCCTTATCTTTATGTTTCAGCTGATGCCGTTTAATATAACTCTTGTATTTAGTTTCGAAATCGCAGCCATTACATCTGTACTTTTGAACCTGAGAAGGATCTTTATGTTTCAGTTCATGCAGTTTGATAGAATTGTTGTATTTACATTCATAATTACAGTAGCTACACTTGTACATTTGAACCTGAGAAGGATCTTTATGCTTTAGCTGATGCTTTTTGAGATATCTCTTGTTTATAGTTTTGTAATCGCAGTCGTTACACTTGTACATTTGAACCTGCGAAGGGTCTTTGTGTTTCAGTTGGTGTTTCTTCATGGCATCCTTGTATTTAGTTTTGAAATCGCAGTCATTACACCTGTACGTTTGAACCTGAGAAGGATCTTTATGCTGCAGCTGATGCTGTTTGATACAACTTTTGTATTTAGTTTCAAAATTGCAGACGTTACACCTGTACAATTGAACCTGTGAAGGATCTGTATGTTTCAGTTGGTGTTTTTTCATATTACCCTTGTATTTAGTTTTGTAATCGCAGTCGTTACAGCTGTTCATTTGAACCTGTGAAGGATCTTTATGTGTCATTTGGTGTTTTTTCATAGCACCCTTGTATTTAGTTTCATTCGAAATCGCAGCCATTACATCTGTACTTTTGAACCTGAGAAGGATCTTTATGTTTCAGTTCATGCAGTTTGATAGAATTGTTGTATTTACATTCATAATTACAATAGCTACACTTGTACATTTGAACCTGAGAAGGATCTTTATGCTTTAGCTGATGCTTTTTGAGATATCTCTTGTTTATAGTTTTGTAATCGCAGTCGTTACACTTGTACATTTGAACCTGCGAAGGGCCTTTGTGTTTCAGTTGGTGTTTCTTCATGGCATCCTTGTATTTAGTTTTGAAATCGCAGTCATTACACCTGTACGTTTGAACCTGAGAAGGATCTTTATGCTGCAGCTGATGCTGTTTGATACAACTTTTGTATTTAGTTTCAAAATTGCAGACGTTACACCTGTACAATTGAACCTGTGAAGGATCTGTATGTTTCAGTTGGTGTTTTTTCATATTACCCTTGTATTTAGTTTTGTAATCGCAGTCGTTACAGCTGTTCATTTGAACCTGTGAAGGATCTTTATGTGTCATTTGGTGTTTTTTCATAGCACCCTTGTATTTAGTATCATAATCACAGTCCTTACACCTGTACATTTGAACCTGCAAAGGATCTTTATGTTTCAGTTGGTGTCGTTCCATATTACTCTTGTATTTACTTTCATAATTGCAGTCCTTACACCTGCACATTTGAACCTGAGAAGGATCTTTATGCTTCAGCTGATGCATTTTGAGATATATCTTGTTTATAGTTTTGTAATTGCAGTCGTTACACCTGTATGTTTGAACCTGCGAAGGATCTTTGTGTTTCAGTTGATGCGTTTTAAAATTATTGTTGTATTTAGTTTCAAAATTGCAGTCGTTACACTTGTACATTTGAACCTGCAAAGGATCTTTATGTACCAACTTGTGTCTGGTAAAGTTTCTCTTATTCTTTGATTCGTATGTGCAATCATCACATTTATAAATCGGCAGTTGTGAAGTGTCCTTATTCGGTAATGCGGTGTATTTGGTTTTATAGTCACAATTGTTCGAGTTTTTGTGTTTTATATAGTGACTATTAAAACTGACCTTCCGTTTTGTCTTGAAATCACAAATGTCACACTCATACAATCTCCCTCCAGATGCGCTTTTGTGTTTCACCTGACTCTTAGCAAACTCACACCTGTGCCTTGTCTTGTAACAATATGATCCGCATCGGTGCATACGCGTTTTCGAAGGATCTTTATGCCTCAGCTGGTGCTTCTGAAAAAATTTTTTATTTTCAGTTTCATACTCGCACGTTTCACATTTATATGCTTCCGAATCGTTCTCGTGTCTCACACGGTGCGCTATAAAACGGCTCTCGCTTCCAGTTTCGTAAATACATTTATCACATTTGTAAAATACTTTGTCATCCTGCTTGTCTTTCGTATTACAATCGTTTGTCGATTTATTCTCATGTTTACATCCATCCTCTTCCTCATCTCTAAGGACACTCTTCTCGAATGATTCACTATCGGAGCTCTGCAGTAGCGAGTCGCTGAAAAAATTACATATACAGGGTATTTTCCAATGTTAGGTGTTAATTCTAAGAGGTTATAGGTTATTCCAAATGTAGTTATATGTTTTTAAACTCCACAGGGCATTATTTCAATTTTATTATCATACAAACCAAATTTTTTACTACAATTAGGTCATATTTTTCTTGAACATATGTTAAAATTAATTATGCAAAAATCCTTAGAAATACAAAAAATGTATGCAAGAGATGCAAAATTAAATAAGATCTAGAGTTATACGGTTACCTTTTAAATTACTGTTAAAATAGTCTTCTCTTACCTCCTTTCTTCATCTTCCGATTTTATGTCAATACTTTCAGCTTTGATTGACATTTCCATCTCGTTGATATCGAATTCTTTGTCCTCGTTTTCAGTCTTAACGAATAAATCGGATGGTGACGTATCTATCTGGCTTTCAGTTGCTGCGTTATTAAAAATACCTCCAATTTTTTCCTGTACTTCCAAGCAACTTTTTAGGAAACTGTTGTGGGTGCACACAGAATCAAAGCATTCCTTACATACAACGGGATCTTTGATGATGTTTATATTCTGCAAAGCAGTTTCATTAAATTGCGAAACATTTAACTATTTAATATCACTGATACCATTTCAGGAGCCAATTTTTCGATAGCTTCAAGTTCTTCTTCACAAATACACCTAAACTCACTTTCTACTGGCTCCATACACAATCGACATATTTTCTGACTATCTGAAATGTCCATTGACTCGCTGGTCTTTTCCTTCGTATACACATCCCTTATATCGAGCTGTAACATTTTTTCACAATCCACATATGGAATAATTGCGTAATCGGTCTTCAGACAAGTTGACTTAAATTCGAATGCTGCGTTTAACTTTCTTCTGCAAACGTTACATATAACCTCCTTGCCATCGCTATCAAATATCTGAAATATATGCAACTTTAACCAAAGAGAAGGAAAATCACTTTGGCAGAAAATATCAATTACTGTTAGGTCGATCTAATGCGTTGAGGTGAGCGAAATGAGATGTATGTACATACATGTTAGATGCTAATTATTAAAGAGGGATGTCATCCACTGCGTCGCTATTACTGAGTCAGTCAGAACCCTTTTGGGATGCGCGAGCAGTCGAGGTCAGCCGATGGAGCACGGTCCGCGGGGTCAGCGAGTGAAGTCAGTCAATCACGAGAGTCACCAGACTCCCGACATAGCTAATAAACAAGCGACAACTCTGTCGTTTGAGGGAATAAACCGATTGTTGAAATTATGTGTTTTAATCGGGGGTGAAAACCCTCGGGTCTTTAACATACATTAGGGAGCTTTGTTTGAAACGTACATTTCTTTTTTTTGCTCCATTGAGGAAATATTGTTCTACAAATTGGAAATAAAATTTTACTAAATTTCAGTTCTTAATTTTGATTTTTAGTACTCGCTATTTAATTTTAAAATTTTCCTATTCATATAACACGAAACGAAGTTGTTTTTTCTTTAATTTTTCTGTATATTATTCCATATTTCAATTCTTGTCGAAATTCTAAATAAAATTCATACATCACCATATCCTATGATCACTAAAACTCCAATACGCTCTGTTTCATTTAAACGTGCCAATTTGCGAGAAAATTATTCACACAAAATGTATTTTTGGCATGTGTTGTCAAGATAATCACTATTAGACAAAAGAACGACGCAGAGTTGTTATGGAGTTAAAAACTTTCAAAGGTAACTTGATGGACTATCAACTTAACGGACAAATATTTTTCTACAATTTACAAAAAATAGATTTTCAAAGTTCGATATCTCGAAAACGGCTAAGTTTAGGCGCATGATGTGATATATGAAGTTTGTTTAGAATTTCGAGAAAAATTGAAAAATAGAATAATATACAGTGTTCCAATAAAGAAAAAGCAACTTTGTTATATCATAACTTTTCGACTGATCCTGCATACTTAAATATACTTTTTTGTAATAGCTTTAAAAAACCCTAAAACGCTTGTGTCCTATGATTTTTCGACAGCTATCTTACTTTAGGAGATAATCGACCGTTTCCATAGGTACATATCAGCGACCCAGAACTATGTAATACATAACCATCACTGACTTACCAATTTCAGCAAAAGAACATCTAAAATATCTCTAGAAACGTTGTCTATTACCTCAAAACCATTTACGGTTACAGTTTTGAGGCAAAGCTTGCACGAAGTTTCTTGAACGCCAGACATTGCAACAATTCTCTTTGAAACTTAAATATCAAACCGTTACTTAACCTCAATGAGAAATGAAAGAGAGTTATTGTTCTTCTTCCCCTTCTCTTATCCATGACGGATTGGTGGAAAAAAATTGACGTAATAAATAATTACGATTGCATTGTCTGTATTTTTAAGTGTAGATTTCAATTTACTTGAAACAAAGTGGTAACTATAATGTATTTTGCATTTGAAAATTTGTTTTGTCAGCAGGTGACGTCATCAACGAGATCCGGATTTTCGATTTGAAGCAAATTGTATCCCTATATGTATATAATACATAAACAGAAGCTTAAGTTGGTTATGATGTTAAGACATAAAGACATAATTTTTACGTTAATTGTTAAAATCGATTTAAGTATGTAGAGTTGAGCCGAGACAAAGACAGGACTGGTTCTAGAAAAATGCCATACTTCGCTTCAGGTGTTTATTGAAACAGAGACAACTTAGGAGTGAGTTTCTTGAAAGAGAGCTTTCATAGACCACTCTAGAAACTAGTAGGGCATTTATGTGATTATAATACAATAAAAATACATAAAAGCTTTACTTGGCACCCTGTAGCCCTATCATGTGCTTATAGCATTCCAAACATTAGTACCAGCGGATTACATTTTATTTCCTGGGCAACACGTTTCCCTGAATTAAAAACTATTACCTATTTTTATTGGGAAATAACATTAGTTTTTGTTGGTCAAAACATGATTAAACGTGCCCAATCGTGCTTATGTTTTTCCCAGAGCCAATATATGTATGTTACTATGTTCATAGCACATACTTCTATATACTGGCTCTGGTTTTTCCAAATTGTAGATACTACATTATACCACCGCCCCNACGTGCCCAATCGTGCTTATGTTTTTCCCAGAGCCAATATATGTATGTTACTATGTTCATAGCACATACTTCTATATACTGGCTCTGGTTTTTCCAAATTGTAGATACTACATTATACCACCGCCCCGTTGACTGAAATATTGCACAAAATATTTCAATCAACGACCGCCTATAAATTTAAAGTATATTGTAATATTTATTAAGTATCATATATTAGTACTATTTTTACCCGAAAGATGGCGCCGCAAAGAGTGACCACAAAAATCGCCCGTTTTTTCACAATTCGCAGAGAACTAAAGAAAATAGATAAAAATATGTTTTTGGTCTCAAATTACTCGTAAAAAAATTAAGATGAAGGTGAAATCATCCCCAAAAATAGGGAATATAAGAAATAATTGTAAAAATTCCAAAAAAAAATAAATGAAGATAATTCAGTGCTAGGAAAACATGGATTAACTATTCATAGTAAGTTTCAAGAAAAAACTACACCTGAATCAGGGTTGAAGCCACCCCATTCTCAAAAAAATACAACAAAATTCATTTTTATTTTAATTTCTCTATAGAATAAATCGCAGAAAAATTCATACATTTACACGACTAAAATGGGCATGTTGACTTCGAGAATCTACCCTCGAGAGCCTTAAGGGGTTGTAAATAATTATAAAAATTCTAAAGAATTCTTCATTTTTGGCATTTTTTCAGCCCCTAAGTTGAGGTGATTTTTAAAATTTTCAAAATACGAAAAGCTGTGCTCATTTAAGTTTTTTATGACAAGTAATTTGCGACTAAAAACATATTTTTGTATTTTTTTAAATTCTCTGCGGATTGTGAAAAAATGGGCGAAAATCACAGGTTTTTTGCGGTCACTCTTTAATATTTTAAGTTGCTTCTTCAGATAACTTTAGCCAACTGATGTATCAAATCCTTATTCATTATTACTGTGGTTTTCATAGTGCTCTTATTACCATGGTTTAGCGTTTACATCAGTCATACAAATGTTTGAAACTTCCCGTCCAGAATTAACTAAAGGATATTACTTTAATCGACAGCGAAGCAGGACAAAATGCATTTAGCAGCTTTTCATTTACCTGCAGGACACATGCTAAATGCCACGGTGGTTCAATGAGGGTGCTACGGATGTAGCCCAGGACAAAATTTTAAATATTGTAGCAGGAAAATATGTACAAGTGACAGGTAAGTCTTTCGGCAAACGCGTATAACATGAAGTTCAAATGTAGCCCTGTCGTCATGTGCTCACAGCATTCCAAACATTAGTACCAGCGGATTATCTTTTATTTGCGTGATCACCACGTTCGCCTGACTTACAAACTATCACCTATTTTTATCGGAAAATAACATTGGTTTTTGTTGGTCAAAACATGATTAAACGTGCCCAACCGTGTTTATGAGTTGTTGGATAAAATTTTGAACGTTTCTGATTACATTTAACAATATTAGAATTTAATTCAATTATTATTTTTTTTTAAAAGTAATGAATCATTACGTCTTCTCGTTTTGCTAAGTAGATAGCGCCATCTATCAATTATAGTAGACACTACCTTACATCACCGCCTCCTTGACTGATATATTGTACAAAATATTTCTATCAACGACCGCCTATAAATTTAAAGTATACTGTAATATTTATTATGTCATATATTAGTGTTATTTTTACCCGAGAGATGGCGGCACAAATTTAATTCTCGTCTTGATTTTAGCGAGCACTCAAGCACTCCCTGGATTTCTATAATTTGGTTCAGTTCGGTTTGCAGATTTTTATGTAGGTACTGGACAAGAACAAAAACTATGTAAAAACAAAAGGGTTCCTTTAAACACATTAATACAATGTAATGCATATGTACTGAAATTATATTTAATTAATTTAATCTTACATACATATAATATAATCATGTAATAGTGCACAATAAAAGCTAAACATTTAAACTTATATTGATGCCTTAAAATAATACTAACAAAATACAATAGGGAACAGTGTTAGTACAATAACGTTTCTTTGCACTGGGAACCCTGCCCCCCCCCCCTACACAAATTACGAAAAATCAAATGAAAATTATAAATTACATAGGATGCGGGTTAATTTTAAATATGTACGTATAAAAATTAAAGAAGTCAAAAAAATAAATGTAACAAATAAACACTTATTTAAACATAGAAAATAAAGGTGGTTGCTGCAAAATTCTTTTAGCCAATAGCCCCTCCAGCCAAAGCCCTCATCATTTTCTCATCCACATTTACACAACCCCTACTCATAAGGAAAACACATTTTTAGGACAGGACAAATAAAGAATATCAGGCTGGAAGGGTGAATTGATTTTGTACAAATATAACTAACTCCCACTAACAGGTACATAATAATTTTCAAAGCACTGCTTTCTGGTTGACCGCAACACTTGTCTCGAAAATCATGTGGACAATCGAATACTGTTTCTAAGCTAGAAGTGAAAAACGGGGCATATAATATTGCTAAAAATCACCGATGCATCAGAATTGCAAGATAAACAGGCTTTGAACATTTTTATAAAGATATTTTAAAGCTTCTGACATATTATCTAACTAAAACGATGCTTATTTATTTCTCCTTTTCATTAAAAATTAGAGTTTACGAGTCTATACGACATTGGCAACATCGCCTAGTTGTTCTCTCAACGCGTAAATACCACAGCGAAGTGAGTAGACAGTTTTCTATTAAGAAATACTATGCATATTTATTTTAGTGTTTAGTATTATTACATATTTATTTTGTTGTTCCTAATTTTTTTTTGAACAAAAAACTATTAACTGCATGTTCTACATAATAAACCGTCTCCTCGTTTAGAATACACATGTATATTCACATTTAAGATTCACTCTGAATATTGGTAATGAAAAATATATATTTTTAAACATAGAAAAAGCAGTTGTATATTACAAAGTATTAATTTTAATGCATTGTTACAAAAGCACTAGTCCGAAATCACTTGTCTCTTCCTGTTTCAGAGAGAGTTTTTGTTTGAACCGATGTTTTTCACTACAGGCTTTACATTCTACTTCATATTCACATAAGATATGGTCGGTCCCTTAAATAACTTCATTTTTGACTGGATTTTATGTTTTAATGGGCCGTACTTCACACCCACAGATGTATTTTGTGCAGCAACAGATATCTCCTTAGAGACTTCTCACGCCTGGTTCCAGAATCACATTGATGCATTTGAACCCTCGACATACCTTCGCATGCTCATACACACTCACCCGAACATTTACGCTCGTGAAGGCTCTCTATGCTTCAGCATGTAATATTTTATACAACTCCTGCAATTGGATTCATAATCACAGTCGGTACGCCTTAACTTTATGTTTCAGTTGATGCTTATTGATACAACTTTTGTATTTAGTTTCATAATCACAGTCGTTACACCTGTACAATTGGACCTGAGAAGGATCTTTATGCTTCAGTTGATGCTGTTTGATACATCTCTTGTATTTAGTTTCGTAATCACAGTCCCCACACCTGTACATTTGAACCCGAGAAGGATCTTTATGTTTCAGTTGGTGTCGTTTTATATCACTCTTGTATTTAGTTTCATAATCGCAGTCGTTACACTTGTACATTTGAACCTGTGAAGGATCTTTATGCTTCAGTTGATGTTGTTTGATATAACTCTTGTATACAGTTTTGTAATCACAGTCATTACACCTGTACGTTTGAACCTGAGAAGGATCTTTATGTTTTAGTTGGTGTGATTTGATATGACTCTTGTATTTAGTTTCGTAATCGCAGTCGTCACATTTGTACATTTGAACCCGCGAAAGATCTTTGTGATTCAGTTGGTGATTTTTCATTTCACTTTTGTACTTAGTTTCGAAATCACAGTCCTCACACCTGTACATTTGAACCCGAGAAGGATCTTTATGTTTCAGTTGGTGTCGATTTATATCACTCTTGTATTTAGTTTTGTAATCGCAGTTGTTACACTTGTACATTTGAACCTGTGAAGGGTCTTTATGTTTGAGTTGGTGCTTTTTGATGTTCGTTTTATATATAGTTTCGTAATCACAGTCATTACACCTGTACATTTGAACCCGAGAAGGATCTTTATGTTTCAGTTGGTGATTTCTCATTTCACCTTTGTATTTAGTTTCGAAATCACAGTCCTTACACCTGTACATTTGAACCCGAGAAGGATCTTTATGTTTGAGTTGGTGTCGTTTCATATCACCCTTGTATTTAGTTTCGTAATCGCAGTCGTTACACTTGTACATTTGAACCTGTGAAGGGTCTTTATGTTTGAGTTGGTGCTTTTTGATATACATTTTGTATATAGTTTTGTAATCACAGTCATTACACCTGTACGTTTGAACCTGAGAAGGATCTTTATGTTTCAGTTGATGCTGTTTGATACAACTTTTGTATTTAGATTCGAAATCACAGTCCTTACACCTGTGCATTTGAACCAGAGAAGGATCTTTATGTTTCAGTTGGTGTCGTTTCATATCACCCTTGTATTTAGTTTCGTAATCGCAGTCGTTACACTTGTACATTTGAACCTGTGAAGGGTCTTTATGTTTGAGTTGGTGCTTTTTGATATACATTTTGTATATAGTTTTGTAATCACAGTCATTACACATGTACGTTTGAACCTGAGAAGGATCTTTATGTTTCAGTTGGTGTGATTTGATATGACTCTTGTATTTAGTTTCGTAATCGCAGTCATTACACCCGTACATTTTGACCTGCGAAGGATCTTTATGTATCAACTGATGTCTGGTAAAGTCTCTCTTATTCTCTGATTGGTATGTGCAACCGTCACATTTATATTTGGGCAGTTGCGAAGTGTCTTTATTTGCTAACGCGATGTTTTTGATTTTATAATCGCATTCTACACGATTGTTTGAGTTTTTGTGTTTTATATAATGACTGTTAAAACTGACCTTCCGCTTTGTTTTGAAATCACAAAAGTCGCACTCGTACAATCGTCCTTCAAATGCGCTTTTATGTCTTACCTGACTCTTAGCAAGCTCACACCTATGCCTTGTCTTGTAATCATAAGATCCGCATTGATGCATATGCGTATCCGAAGAGTCTTTATGCTTCAACTGGTGCTTCTGAAAAAATTTTTTATTTTCGCTTTCATACTCACACGATTCACATTTATATGCTTCCGAATCCTTCTCCTGTCTTGCAGGATGTGCTATAAAACGGCTCTCGCTTCCAGTTTTGTAAATACATTTATCACATTTATAAAATACTTTGTGGTCCTGCTTGACCTTCGTATTACATTCGTTTGTCGATCTATTCTCATGTTTACATCCATCCTCTTCTGCATCTCTAAAGACACTCTTCTCGAATAAACCACTATCAGAGCTCTGCAGTAGCGAGTCGCTGAAAAAATTACATATACAGGGTATTTTCCAAAGTCAGGTGTTAATTCTAAGGGGGTCATAGGTTATTGCAAATGCAATTATGCAAGTTTCTGAACTCCACAAGACATTATTTCAGTTTTATTATCACATAAATCAAATTCTTGACGAAAATTAGTAATATTCTTATTGGAGATATTTTAAAAATAATTAATTATGTGAAAACCCTCAGAAATACAAGAAATTAATGCACAATATGCAAAATTAAATAAGATCTGGAGTTATACGGTTACCTTTTAAATTATTCTTAAGGTAGTCTTCTCTTACCTGCTTTCCTCATCTTCCGATTTTATGTCGATACTTTCAGCTTTGATCGACATTTCCATCTCGTTGATATTGTATTCTTTGTCCTCGTTTTCAGTCTTAAGGAATAAATCGGCTGGTGACGCATCTATCCGACGTTCTGTCGCTTCGCTATAAAAAATACCTCCAATTTTTTCCTGTACTTCCAAGCAATTTTTTAGGAAACTGTTGTGGGTGCACACAAAATCAAAGCATTCCTTACATACAACGGGATCTTTGATGATATTTATAGTCTGCAAAGCGATTTCATTAAATTGCGAAACATTTAACTATTTAATGTCATTGATACCATTTCGGGAGCCAATTTTTCGATAGCTTCAAGTTCTTCTTCACAAATACACCTAAACTCACTTTCTACTGGCTCCATACACAATCGACATATTTTTTCACTAACTGAAATATCCACTGACTCGCATATCTTTTCCTTCGTATACACATCTCTGATATCGAGCTGTAACATTTTTTCACAATCCACATGTGGAATAATTGTGTAATCAGTATTCAGACAAGTTGACTTAAATTCGAATGCTGCGTTTAACTTTCTTCTGCAGACGTTACATATAACTTCTTTGCCGTCGCCATCAAATTTCTGAAATATATGCAACTTTAACTTTAAAATAAAAACAGCGTTAATGACAAAACTGATATAAAAAACTTAAGTCAGATATACCACAATTTAATTAAATAAATACAACTTTTTCTAACTATTAATAATAAGGTTCCTATATTTTATTCCTACAATAATTACCACCATTCGTACAATCTGTTTGAATCGTTGTTTTTGCTTTCACTCGATATCATAAACATAAAGTTTAAATTATGATGAGGTTCAACACTAAAATTAAATGCAAATTAAAAAAAAATTGAATAACAAAAAATTTCTCCTGATTCAGCCGTTCTTTTAAAGTTTTTGGTTTTTTATATTATATATAATATATTATATATATTATATAATAA